GATAATGATCAACAGTGCCATCACTAGACAGTGATTTGAAACACTCGATGAAGAAAAGAATATAAACATAATTAATCAAAAATATGTTTATTAACATCAACCTGATTTGGAAGGAAAGCAATCAATAAATACAAGGGCCAAAATATAGCTGGAGACAGCATGATGAAGAGCTAGAAAGGGCTGAAGTGACTGGAGCCCCTGGAAAAACTCCAGCAGAATTCAGCATCTCTAACCTCGAGGTGCTACACAGCTGTAAGGGGATGAAGCTGTTCCATGTGGTTTAGCTTGAGGAAGACTAATGTGCTTTCATCAATAAATTAAGCATTTACTGAGGAAAGAGGCTTTTATAGCAGGGGGAAAAAAGTATCAGTTGGCATAAGTAAAGAAACAGGCTGGAACACAGATAGAGGTGCCACAGCTTGCCACTGCAACTGGTGTGTAAAGGAGCTGGATATCAAACAAATTTATGACATAATTGCTATTCTCACTTGCTCAGAACCACTGTTAACCACTATGAAGACAAGGACCCATTTTTCAGAACAAAACATTCAGACTTTGTGATAGAACTGCTTTCCAGCCTGAAGCAGAGTAGAAAAAATCATTACATTTGTAGCCCTAGAAGTAGATGATTGCTGCTGTTTCTGCATTTAGGGCCTTGCTTCCCCTCTTCTGGTTGCCTCTTCTTTGTCTGTCATCCTTCAACTTCCTTCACACTGAAGGGCCAGCTGGTCTCATCCTGCAGCAAAGCACCTGCACTCTCCTGCTCTCCGGGGAGTTGCTGTCACTGTTCCTGCCACAGTGAAATCCGGGAGGGTGCCTGGCTGCTCAGCTGCCTCCCAGTGCAGCGCTGAGGGACCAAAGCACATCGCTGGCTCTTGACACAGAGCTCCACAACATCCATAAAACAGCTCCACTGTGGACAAGCAAAAGGATCCAACCCAGTGAATAATGACAAGACACACTGAAAAGTGACTGGTCACCCCTGGGACAAACACAAAGTCATTCCCTTAGGGCAAAGCTCAGAAGTCTCACTTTGCTGTTTCATCCAGCTCAAGGTTCTTTCTTTTCCCACAGCTTTACATCTAAAGGGATCTTCTCTGCCTAGCAATGTCTTCCTTGCTGCACTTCTCTCAGGGGACTTTTCAATAATAATGAAAAACAAATTTAACACATTAATAATACTAAATGATTTATTGCTCAAATCATTAATTCTGAAAAATGTTGCTGTGAAGTAAATCATAGAATCACAAAATAGTTTGGGTTGGAAGGGACCTTAAAGACCATCTGATTTTAACCCCCTGCCATGGGCAGGGACACCTTCCACTATCCCAGATTGCTCCAAGCCCTGTCCAACCTGACCTTGGACACTTCTAGGGACGGGGCAGCCACAGCTTCTCTGGGCAACCTGTGGCAGTGCCTTACTACTATCTGAATAAAGAACAGTGAATCCAAATCTCTCCTCTTTTACTTTAAAAGCATTCCCCTTTGTCCTATCACTGTATGCTCTTGTAAAAAGTACACATACTATAAATACAGACTGCCAGAACTAATGCACAGGTGAGCAACAGATACTCATCTTGTGATTTCCTAAGGATTCAACTCTTTCAATCTCCTGCCCTAATTCCTTCTCCTGGCCTCCCCTGCCATGTCATTTGATTGCCTCAAAACTTTATGTATTGTAATAGCTAGAAATAGCTAACTGTAGCTTGCAACATGATTCATGAAAGTGCTTCAAATCCAATCCTATTAATACACCAGCCCACAGAACAGAACACAGTACATATCAAAAGGAAAATCTGCAAAGCACAGCAGATACTCAAAAAATCACTGCAGGAACTGGCCTTAAAATCCTACTGTGATTTGAAAGAAAAGCAAACACGCTCCTTCCTTGGAATGAGGAAAATCCTTTCATAACTTCATGATTTCAGTGTCCAGCCTATTATAAAAGCTATTTCTTCTATTGAAGAGTGGGTTGAAAACGGTTCAATGCTTTTTCAAAAGATAAGTGTTTGTAGAAAACACTTCCTTTTTTATTTCACTAAATGGCTTTTGAAGCTGACAAATTTGAGTTCCTTTTTCAAGTTTTTTTTTTTCCCCTCTTTATTTGGCTTTCTATCCCTTCCCATCTTTTCCAGTGAATATAAACATCATAAGGGAGAAAAAAAAGAAATAAAGAACAAACCCAAACCCCACCCATTATTTGTTGCCTTTTTGTTTTTCATTTGTTTCCCACAACATTCTGAAAACTTAAAAAAAAAAAAATCTGTAAAAATTCAATACTGGCCCAAATTGAATGAACTATTTTCAGTTTGCAGCAGATCAACAATCTAAAGATCCAAAGAGCAAGTGGAGTGAATTAGTTTCGGGAGAGAAATGTAGGGCTAAGTACAATTCCCACAGTGAGCATGGAAAACATGAATGATATTCCCTTTCTTCCTCCCTTTCTAAGTAGCATCGGGCAAGTTTCCCCAAAGATCAGTTGTGCTTCTCCTTCCTCTCTGCTCCTGCCTCTCCCTCTCACTGACTGACCATTTCCTAATTCCTTCTGATTCTGACAGGAAGGAGCCTCACATTTGAGCTCTATTCCCTCTATCGACTCAAAGCCAGGAGGTACAGGAACAGAAGGAATGTAGCCTCACGTAAACTGAGTGGCATTGCTACCCCAAACTGTTCACAAGTTAAACTAACAACTCCCCAGAAGAGATTGTGATCCACTTGTGATCGATGCACCTTCCACCATTCAGGCAGTAAATTACCTTCAAAGAAGGACTTGTCAGGCATTGCTATGATTCTAATGGAGCTCATCCTGCTTTTTAATTGGTAGAAAACCAGGCACCAAGAATCATAGGAGCAAGAGCGTGTTGCCAATGATGAAGATGAAGAGGGAGACACGGGAGAGTCCTCACGCTCAGTTGTTGCTCTGTTGAGCTCCTTGTCTTGCAGAGAACAGCCTGTGTGATGCTGATGTCAGATGGGATCTGTTCACAGGCCACACTCTTTGCATATGATTTCCCTCCTCACGTTTTCACAAAAAATGTGGCAGTGACACGAGAGGGAGAGAAGAACAGATACAATTTCTCCATGTGTCTGCTTTTATTCTCCACCCTAAAATGATGGAAATGAACGCTGGGTCCTTTTTTTGGTAACATTCCGCAGGGGTGTGGGGTGCAGGAGGGAGATGATTCCAGCACGGCAATATTTTATTTTCCTCCCTGTTTGTAGGAGAGAGGGCTGCATAAAATCCCTGTAAATTCTAAATTAAACAAATAAACAAAAAAAATCCAAAACACTAACAAAAGTATTCTGTAATTTACGCATGAACTCTTCTTAGATTTCAGAGAGTGTTGGCACAGGAAGAAAAAGATGTGTGTTACTTTTTCTTACACTAGAGGAACGTACCACCATACTTCTCTCAACAAAGCCAAAACCAAACCAAACCCTATGTTACCTCTGGGGTTACAGTGTTAGACTCCAAGAGTATTCTGAATTATGTAATATATATATAAATATGAATATTGCCTTGTCTATATCCATCAACTGAGACTTCTTGTCTTACTGGTTTTATTCCTAAAAGATCACGTGCTTTTCAACGGATAGACAAGATCATTCTTAACGTTACCAAGAAGAACAAACAATTCGCATTTTCCTAACGCAAAAGAAAAAAAAAAAATACTCCCACAACGACTCGGGTGTACACATGTATGTATATGCCTGACATGCTGCCTTTGAGTTCAAACTAACAGGTAGAGCCTCCTAGCAGAGTCCCCTGTACCTTGGGATGCTGGAGCAAACACAGTTCCAGCATTCTGCCCACATGCACTCATGTTGAGGATGATTCACAGTCACATCGTTTCTATATCGAGACTGGTGAACATACACAATCACATGGACTCCGGAGCAGTGCCCATCACCCAAACATCCAGCCTTTCCCTTTTCCTTCCAGACAGATGTTCCCCTCTCCAGCCACGCTGCTCACTGTTTTTCCCTCAGGTTTGTTTTGGAAGCTCTGCTCTTTGGAAAGCCTTTCCAGCTCACTCAGGGGCTCTCCAGAGCACAAACTTACTGACTTGGTCCATAACTAATGGAATTGTAACAGGCCAGGTTGGATGGGGCTTGGAGCAACCTGCTCTGGTGGAAGGTGTCCCTGCCCACAGCAGGGATTAGAACAGATGATCTCTGAGGTGTCTTCCAACCCAAACCATTCTGGGATTCTAGGAAAATATCAACTATTACTCGCAGCCTAAGGCAAACAGAGAACCCAAAGCATCTTCAGGTACTGAGGATGAAAGCATCTCTCCTCCTTCCTTATGTCTGGATGTCTGATCAGAAAAAGGACAAAAGTGGGCCATTCATGGCAAATATTTTATTACGATAATAAGCACAAACTCAAATTACCAATTTCCAGCCATGTGTACATGGAGAAGACTCTGGTTTTAACTGTGTCTAAAGGAAAGGATGATCGTGAGGACTAGAATTTGCCACTTTGACCCCCAAAACTAAGCACGGAGATGTTACAAGTCATCTTTAACTTCTGGAAGTTGCCCTGCTGAAACCAACACAAGCCCGGCTAAGGGGGCCATGACTCCATCCGGGTTCTGCAAAACCCCTGGAAGGAAAAAAAACCAATTAATCTGATAGTTCTTATCACGAGGGGAAGCTGCAGAGAGGGATGAGGTCTCACCTCAGCCTCCCCTTCTCCAGGCTGAACAGACCGGGGCAAGAAGCGGGGTCAGCGCTGCCACATTGCCCTCAGCCCCCTCATCCTCTCAGTCCCCTCAGTCCCCACTCCTCTCATTCTCC